TTTCTTCCTGTTAAAAGGGAGTTTTTCCTTCCCACTGTCGCCAAAGTGCTTGCTCATAGGGGGTCATATGATTGTTGGGTTTTTCTCTGTATCTATGAAGCGCCTTGAGGTGACTTTTGTTGTGATTTGGCGCTATATAAATAAAATTAAATTGAATTGAAGAGAGGTTAGATTTAAAGGTAAGGACTGCTCAGTGACGTTTGATAAACTGCAAATTTAAAGCTTCCATGTGACGTCATAATTTTAATCACATATGATGTGTTTTGATAAATTATGTATTTTCATTTTGCAAAACAAACAAAGCTATACTAATTTTGTGTTATTCAACTGTTGCATTAAATTACTGCATTAATGTAGTGAACAAGCTTTAAGCTGATGACGCTTGGGTTCATTCAGTGAATTCCAACTTTATACTACTTTGTGTCAGTGTAATGGATCAATATCAGCCAAGATAGCTTGTGAAACTGCTTACATCGTGTTGAATTCAGTTGTGTAAATCCACAAAAAGCAGGTCAGCTGATAACAGCGACACAGAAAACCTACTGAAGCTTACATGAAAAATGACTGTGATTCTTTTCCCTATGCTGAGCTACTGCACAGATCTCAGGGTTCCCCCACCTGCTGAATCCCACTCTAACTCTTGACTCATTGTACTGTTTAGGTGTGGAGACAAAGTCACCGTCTACAATGTGGGCGACAGAAAATAGCTATTTGTTTAAAAGTCTGTAAAGTCTGTACTTTTGCCACCTCTGAACATAACAACAACCAGTAGCTACTTTCAGCCATGTTTCACATCTGTACTGGCTTGTTGTAAGCCTGTTTGCTGGCTTGTTTGCAAACTTCTATATAATTATCAATTATAATTAGGGTTTAGGGTTAAACAGAACAAATGCAATGATGGAGTACTCAAGAGCTCCAAATGAGAAATGTTTTTTCTATGATGTATTAAGCACTTATCACTATTTCTGACACGCTGAACTTAATTTAAAGAAAAGAGTGCAAGAGGCTTTCATTTATATCATTTAATTTTTTCCATTTATTAGGCTAGGATAAGACCATAGTCCCCCGTTTATCAGGTAGGGAATTTTGCTCCCCTGTCACACCTGATCATAAGTGATAATGAGAAAACATACTGGATGCTTTAAACTGTTAGCAGTCGGACGTACCGCCCACGGGACATTGGATGGTTTAGGGGACTAATAGGACTGCTAAGGGGTTAATTTGGTTTTCATTTACAGGCCTCCCCAACCTGCATGCACCCATGTGATTACAAATACAGAAAAACCCTGATTAACCGTACTCTCTTCAGCGATCCTGCACACAGTCATTATGCCTCCAAAGAAAGGCAGCACCCACCATCTGAGGCAAACAGAAGGAGCCACAACTGAAAAACTAAGGTATGGAAATGACAACTTTCTACGCAGACAACCTCAAATATTACTGTTGGACTGCCTCTTACTCTTACTGCCTTTTTATGATTACAAATGCTACATAACAAGAACAGAAACAGAAAATATATTTCCCTCCACAATACAAAGTAATTTGTGTAAAGGCATAACAGTATCATCGATATCTTCACTCTCTCTATTAGGTAGAAATATGATTTTATGTCTGTAGTTGATTAATGTCAAGAGATTTTCACATTCATCAAAGAACGCTGAATGACAAATTTTGCTATAAAAATCCGATATATATTTATATCATACTGTAAAGAAAGCAGAAAATATGGCAAACATTTAATTTAATTGTAGAACAGCAAAGTATAATTTAATATTAGCAAGAGAAATTCTCAGCTGACATCTCACCTGCAGTTCTTTGTAGAGACATTCCAGCTCAGCTGTAGAAGACATGTTGTGGTGGTGCGGAAGAAGAGGAAGAGAAGGCTCCAGACTGTTGCTCCTCAGTCCCTCCAGCTGGTTGCTCAGCTCCTCTACCCTCGCCACAGCCACGAGCAGCTCTGTCTGCTTCTGATGGAAAAGGCTGGTCATCTGCTCGATCTCCTCCACTGCAACACAATCATATCATTGCAGTCTTTAATTGATCCTGGTGTCATCCCGCAGTACCCTGCACTACTTATTTAAAGATAACCATTACACTCATTTTCAGTTTGAATAGGTTCTTTTAAAACCTTGTACTGGGCATACTCTCTTGCTGTGGATGAAAGTACAAACATGATGGACATTGCACGGCTGGCCATCTTCATCCGTGGAGTGGAAATATTGGACATTAAATCGATGCACGGGACAACGACAGGAAAAGACATTTTTGAAAACGCATGTCAAAGTGTGACCGACATGAAACTGCCCTGGGACAAACTTGTTGGACTTACAACAGATGGAGCGCCGGTGTTGTGCGGTGAAAAAAAGTGGACTCGTCGGCAGGATGAGAGTAAAGATATCACTGCATCACACACCAGGAAAGGCTGTGTGGTAGAGTCCTAAAAATGGAGCATGTAATGATCACCGAGTTAAAGGTTTGAATCACCGTCAATTTCAGTCTTTTATGTAGGAAACAGATTCAGAGCTTGCTGACATTTCTCATCATACAGAGGTCCGTTGGCTGAGTTGGGGAAAAGTTCTCAATAGAGTTTTTGAGCTCGGCAAGGAAATCTGTCAGTTCATGGACATGGCATGTATGATGCAGTGAAGGCATTTGAAGTGAAGCAGTCACAAATGCACCAGTGCAACTTGCCTCATGTCAGGTTTATATTGTTGATTGTCATTTATGCTTAGCAATATTTAACCATATATGCTTAGAGGTGTATAATCGATTGTGTAGTGATACGATGTGTGATCCTTAGGAGTCTGCAAAGACTTCCAGAGTGTTCTGGCATTCACACCACATCCTGGGAGCATGGGAGAGGGCGTACCTTCTCTTGTTGTTTTATGGTAGGATAAACGTAGCCATGTCAGTTTTAGTCTAAGTGCCTTTTGTTTAGATGAACTGCTGGACTTACAGACCAGCAGGTTTAGGATAGTCATTTATGGGGTCACACACTGACCCCCACACACACACACATACTTACACAACGCACAGGCAAGGTACTCTTTGTGTGTATGTATACGTCATATGTTAATGAACCTATGTATATTCATGTGAGCTCAATAAAAGAACAATGTTATGGGGGAGCGGACGAGAGCGACTGGGGTCAAGCGAAGGAACGGCGCTTGTCGTGGTTCTCTCCCTCATGCATGAGTAACACGAAGAACTTTGCCTACTTGTGTCTTGCTTTTGCTGTGTAATCAAATTGTCTTGAACGTTCCAGCAAATAGGTTCAAACTACAAACCTATCACCTCACTTTCCCTGTTGCCAAGTAATGTTGAACCAAGTCGGCGCACTTTGCTGATAAACTGAGTGCACTGCGCACTGAGTATGCCCGGCGCTTTGGTGACTTTGAAGCACAAAAAGAGAATTTCGAGCTGCTTTGCAACCCATTTATGTGGAAACTGCACCTGTGCAGATTCAGATGGAGCTGCAGTGTAATGATACACTCAAGGCAAAGTACGACACTGAATGGCCCGCACAGTTTATTAGTTCCATTCCTGAAGCAACGCCTCAGCTACATGCGGCTCCAACCTTGTGTTTGCTTTCATTAATTTTTTCTGGGGTTTTGGCAGCATGTTCATATTTCTAACTTGCATAATTTTGACAGGATATATTTTTATGAAGAGCAAAATATTTAAAGTTTATTTTTTTCTGGAATAATATTCCTGTCTGTTTTTATTCATATTTATGTTTAAAAACATTGTTTTAGTGTTCAATAAATGTTTATCTTGTTTGGCCCGCGACCTAAAGTGTGCCTTAAGTTTTGGCCCCCTGTGCAATTGAGTTTGACACCCCTGCTGTAAACCATAAAAGGTAGTATTCATTTTTTTAATCTGATGATGGTGTTTATATAGTAGTGTCGACGTGCTGTTTAGCATTCTTTTCTGTCATTTGAACACTGCGAGCAGTAGCTTCTTTGCTGTGGCATGCTGGGGTGCATGCATCAAAGAGAAGGACGCAAACAGACTGAACAAATTCAGGAAGGCCGAGTCTGTTTTTGGCATGAAGTTCGCCACAGAGGTGGTGATCAGTGACAAAATGCTGGCAAGACTGCAGGCAATCATGGACATGGACCCCCTCCATAACACACTGGACAATCTGAAGAGTGGTTTCAGCAACAGGTTCCTTCAACCTCGCCTGTCTGAGTTGTGGTACAGAAGGTCTTTCCTTCCCACTGCTATCAAACTCTTCAGTCAGGTCACATGTGGAACAGAACAAATCACATCTCAGTGCACCCTCTCATTTTTGTACACCATGACATATTTGCACATACTTGTCCTTTTATATTTATACCTATCTCTATATTTATCTTAACATTTATCTATCAATATCTCTGTTTCTGCACTCATTTTCTTTGAAACTAAATTTTCCTCTGAGATTAATAAAGTTTCTCTGATTCAGATTTACCATGTATATTCGGTTAAAATTTATGTAGTCAATTCCTATCAGAAAGCATTTTTCCACACATGGTTCTGGATGATGATTAGTAAAAGCACATATCCCTAATATGGTCATCTCAATCACACCATCATGAACAGTCACATTCTGTTTTACTTAAATTTGTCTTACACTTTACTTTGTTCTGTTTCCTGCTATTTTTGTACCTGGCCAGTGTTCAGTTAGTCAGTCTCCTCAGTATATATACCGTCACAACAATCTTAAGCCAGACTGTACTCTTTGCAGTAAAGCTTTCCAGTAATTCCTAGTATTCCTTGTGTTGCCTACTACTATCCTAACTGATCTGATTTAGAGTATTTCATTGACTTTTCCTGTTGCTTGCGTTACTTGGATTGTTTGCAACTGATTTCTCATGTATGACCACGGCCTGTACTGGTATACCTGTCACAGCAGATGGCCCCGCCCCTCTCTGAGCCTGGTTCTACTGGAAGTTTCTTCCTGTTAAAAGGGAGTTTTTCCTCCCCACTGTTGCCAAAGTGCTTGCTCATAAGCGGTCATTTGATTGTTGAGTTTTTCTCTGTATGTATTTTTGTAGGGTCTACCTTACAATATAAAGTGCCTTGAGGCGACTGTTGTTGTGATTTGGCACTGTATAAAAGAAAATTGAATTGAATAACAACTTGGACGGTTGAATTTTATTTAGAGCCTCTTCTCCTTATACATAACACCAGCTGCCTGTAAACCTTTTGTTTAAGAAGGGTAGCCAGTCAAAAGAAAGTTGACTTACACCACGAGTTTGGGATTGAAAATGAACAGTGGGGCGCCAGTACCTCTTCTTTAGCTTTTCTGATAGTCAATGAACAGAAATATAGAGTTGGATATGAGAATATTAGCTCCCGTTTAAAAAAATCCCAAGTTTATTTTAAAAAATACAAAAATTAGACTATTTATGAAACGAAAAATTTCTTAAATAGTGTTCTAATGTTTTTCCCATGTTGATGTTTGCCCCAAACTAATGTGCCAAACTTGTCGGTGCATTAGTGCTTCATATTGATTTTATACAATTAGGCCAGGAATATGTGACACATAAAACAGTTCAAAACTAATGTTTTGGATATGAATAAAGAAGCTCTGCAAAATGTTACAAAGCCTATGTAGTCGCATGGCTCACTGACCTAGTTTGCTATTACTTAGGCGTTTCTGTTCCACCTGACCCTTTAGGGCCCGGACTCGTCGCAGTTTGGCCTCCTGGTTATGCGCATTCTCCCTGAGCTGCCACAGCCGCTCCTGTTCTGACGCCTCCTGTTGCTGCTGCTGGTGATCCTGCAGTTTCAGGAACCGTAGCTGCTGCTCCTGCAAAACACAATGCTTTTCAGGTCTTTATCATATCATATCATGCTAAACAGCTACACCGATTTCTTCCTGATATACTTTAACTGGGAAGACATGAAACATTTACAGTACATCTTGTAAAATATATCTAGCCATTCATATGAGGTATAGAAGGCTTGTGTAGTCACAGTCGAATCATGTGCATCACTTTAGTATGAACATTAGTCTCTGTTTGCACAGAACTTTGTTTGGTATACTAGTCCAGGGGGCAAACGGAGTACAAGAAGTAGTTAATAAGCATCCATAGGCAACTGCAAGAGGTTATTGTGAACTGCATTTAAAATAGTATCAGCATCAATATAAGTGGTAACACCAGCAGTAGTAACAGTAGTAATAGTTGTGTATGGTGTGTTTTACCTTGGAGGCCAGCAGCTGCTGCTGAGCACTGATCTGCTGCTGCTGTCGGGTTGCCAGGTCGTGCAGCTCATTCAGCGTCATGTCCAGACAGGGAGCTGAAACCTGTAACGCAGATACAGTCAGAGTTCACTTTCACACAGACAGAAATACTAAAAGACACATTACACTGTCCAGCTGTCACAACCTTCATGCATTTTAAGGTGCAATGCACAACTTTCTGTTCAGCCATTTACAGCAGCGGTCCCCAACCCCGAGCCATGGACCGGTACCCGTCCATGAGTCGTTTGGTACCCGGCCGCGAGAGTTCAGGCTTGGATGTGAAATTAATGGTTTTCAGGGTTTTTGTCGGTTTTTAGCATTATTCTTTTTATCGTTTTTATCGTTAACTTGGTTTCTCTGGGTCTTTTCCCGTGCGTTATGAATAAATCTTCTTTTTTTTAGTATGGGTACTGGTTTTATTTTATTGCATTTATCCGCGACACCTTAAAGGCCGGTCCATGAAAATGTTGTTGGACATAAACCGGTCCGTGGCGCAAAAAAGTTTGGGGACTGCTGATCACAGAAACTCAAAATGCAATATCTATGAATGTGTTTGAAGGGATTCATGTTAGTCGGTAATAAAAATGTAAGCCAAGGCAAAACACACTGATTTATTTTTATCAAAATCACAGTAAAAGTCTCTCACCCCATTCTCCAGACATCTCTCCAAAGAGGCTTTCACCTGGTTTCTCCTCATCATCTGATCTGCAGCCCTGGATCCAACTGGACACAAAACACAGTAAATACTAATGAAGAATTTAATCATTTTAGCCATGCTCTACTGCCTATCCAGTGTTGGTGCAGAGGATGGTCAGGATAGGCCAAGATTGACAACAATGTATATAAACACATAGTGAGTGAAAAAGGTGAATGACGATAAAATACTAGTGCATAATAATAAGCCCCCAGCAGCCTTAGTTACTCAGCAGTCAATTGCTGAGTAACTAAGGGAGAATTCAGGGTCACCTGGTCCAGCCCTAACTATATGTTTAGCAAAAAGGAAAGTTTAAAGCCTAATCTTAAAAGTAGAGATAGTGTCCCATTTCCAAACTGGAAGCTGGTTTCACAGAAGAGGGGCATGAAAGCTGAAGGCTCTGCCTCCCATTCTACTTTTAAATACTCTAGGTACAACAAGTAGGCCTGCAGTGCGAGAGCGTAGTGCTCTAATCGGGTGATATGGTACTACAAGGTCATTAAGATGAGATTGGGGCCTGATTATTCAAGGCCTTGTATGTGTCAAGATTCTGGGTCATTTGACCCAGCGTTCTTAGTTTTCCTGTGTTCCTGTGTCATCCTAAGTTCATTTGTTATTCTATGGGTCCTAAGTTGTTCAGGTTAATTTACTGGATTTCCTCTCGTGTCGTTATCCCCCTTTGTCTCCCTCTGTGTGACCGTGTATATAGTGATGTGAGTTATTGTGTTTTCCTCTTTCCATCATGTTCTCTCTCTCTCTGCTTCTCTCGGCTGTCTCTGTGTACTCTCTGTGTTATGTTTAAGGTCCGCGTCTTGGTGTCAGAATTTCGTGTCCTCCCCACTCTGTTATGTGTAATTGTCCTCAGCTATGTCCCCGTGTGCTTCCACTTCCCTCGTTATCTTCTGTGTACTTATGTCAATGTCCCCCTCTGTTCTGTGTGGCGTCGTCCCCTCACTGTGTGTTTCCTCCGCGCTCCTATGTCCTTGTGTTTCCAGTGTAGCTCCCTCGTGTCTCTGGTTTTTGATTTGAGTTTCTTGTTTATAGCTCCTTGTGTTTAGTTTAGTACCTATGTGTTTTTCCAGCAATAAAGCTGCCGTTTTGAGTTCATCCCTCCCCGTGTATGACTCCTGTGTTTGGGTTCTATTTCCTGCCAGCCACACAGTGAACCATGACAGTATGTGAGGAGCAGGATTTTGAATTCCATTCTGGATTTAACAGGGAGCCAATGAAGGGAAGCCAAAACAGGAGAAATCTGTTTCTAGTCCCTGTCAGTACTCTTGCTGCAGCAATTTGGATTAGCTGAAGGCTTTTCAGGGAGTTTTAGGACATCCTGATAATAACAAATTACACTAGTCCAGCCTAGAAGTAATAAATGCATGAACCTTTCAGCATCCCTCTGAGACTCTTTAAGGGCCAAGTATAATAAGCTCAGTTTCATCTGAATTTGGAAGCAGAAAATTAGTTGTCATCCAGGTTTTTATGTCTTTAATGCTGTCTTTAATACTTTGAATACTGCATGTAAAGAAGCATGTATAATCTAAACAGAATTGGTTCTAGCACTGAAGCCTGTGGAACTCCATAATTATCCTTAGTGTGTGAAGAGGACTCTCCATTTACGAGAAAAAATTGGAGTCTATTAAACACATAAAGACCTGGATGACCTCTAATTTTCTGCTTCTGAATTCAGATAAAACTGAGGTTATTGCACTTTGGCCTAAAAATCTTAGAAATTTGGTCTCTAACGAGGACTTCCTCGAAGAGATTCTGGCAAACCATCAGACGACTCAGGAGGGGAAAGCAGTGCTCCACCTGCAATGTGTATAGTGCGGGTGGAGCGCTGCTGACTTCTGACTGAAAACATAGTCGGGCATTGTAAGGAATACTTTGAGGACCTCCTTAATCCCACTGGCACGTCTTCTGTGGAGGAAGCAGAGTCTGAGGGGGACGACTAGCCTATCTCCGGGGGCGAGGTCACTGGGGCAGTTAAACAACTCCTTGGTGGCAGAGCCCCTGGGGTGGATGAGGTCCGCCCTGAGTTCCTGGAGGCTCTGGACGTTGTAGGGCTGTCTTTGTTGACATGCCTCTACAATGTTGTGTGTAGCTCAGGGGTGGTTCCTCTGGATTGGCAGACCAGGGTGGTGATTCCCATCTTTAAGAACGGGGACCAAAGGGTGTGTCCAACTATAGGGGGCTCACACTCCTCAGCCTCTCTGGGAAAGTCTATGCCAGGGTGCTGGAAAGGAGAGTCCACCCGCTAGTCGAACCTCTGATACAGCATTAACAATGCGGTTTTCATCCTGGTCATGGAACACAGGATCAGCTCTTTACCCTCTCAAGGATACTTGAGGGTGCATGGGAGTTTGCCCAACTAATCTATGTGTGCTTTGTGGACTGGGAGAAGACCGTGTCCTTCAGAGTGTCTTGTGAGAGGTGCTTCGGGAGTATGGGGTGTCTGGTCCATTGCTTCAGGCCATTCGATCCTTATACAACCGTTGCAAGAGCTTGGTCCGGATAGCCGGCAATAAGTCGGACTCATTCTTGGCCAGGGCTGCCCTTTGTCACCGATTCTGTTCATAATTTTTATTTGACAGAATTATGAGGTGGTGAACGGCTTTTAGTTGGGTGGTCTCAGAATCTCATCTCTGCTTTTCACAGATGATGTGGTTCTGTTGGCTTCATCGGATGATGGCCTCCAGCTCACACTGGAACAGTTCACAGTTGAGTGTGAAGTGGTGAGAATGAGGATCAGCACCTCCAAATCTGAAGCCAAGGTCCTCAGCCAGAAAAGGGTGGAGTGCCCACTCTGGGTCAGTGACGAGTTCCTGCCCCAAGTGCAGGCATTTAGGTATCTCGGGGTCTTGTTCACGGGTGACGGGAAAAGGAAGCGAGAGATCAACAGACGGATTAGTGATGCGGACACTATACTGGTCTGTCGTGGTGAAGAGAGAGCTGAGTTTAAAAGCGAAGCTCTTGATTTACCGGTCGATCTACATCCCTTATGTACCACAAGATGTGGATAGTGACCGAAAGAACGAGATCACAGATACTCGTTCTGTGAGCCAGTCACCCTTCAGAGAAAGGGTGACTGGCCTTTCCCTTGGAGATAGGGTGAGAAGTTCTGCCATCTGGGAGGGGCTCAGAGTAGAGCCGCTGCTCCTCCACATCAAAAGGAGCCAGCTGAGGTGGTTTAGGCGTCTGATAAGGATGCCTCTTGGGTGAGGTGTTCTGGGCATGTCCCACCGGGAGGAGGCCCCGGGGCAGACCCAAGACATGCTGGAGAGATTATATCTCTCGGTTGGACTGGGAACGCCTTGGTGTTCCCCCAGACAAGCTGGAGGAGGTGGCTGGGGAGAGGGAGGTCTGGGCTTTTCTGCTTAGATTGCTGCCCTCGCGACCCGGCCCTGGATAAGCGAAAGAAGATGGATGGACGAACGAGTGAAAGCAAAGTAACCTACAAGATACACTGTGCTCATTCGGACCTTCAATAGTGCCAATATTTTCTGTATATACACTGTCAAGAGAATTAGAGGAACACTCACCTTTTTACTTTTCAAATACAAGCATCTGTACTTGTGAAAAATGTGTGTTCTTTTGCCACCTCTGTATATCAACTAATAGATGGATAGAGGTATATCTGTATATTTACAAAGGGGATACACCAGTACTGCCACTCCACTGAGTTAACCACAGGATCCATACCTGCCATCAAAAGTGAGAGGATGGATACTGTCTATCAAATTCTTCATAATTAACATTCAATTGATTACTTATAATTATAAATTAGCTTAGACCTAAATGTTGTACCTAAATCATAACCTGTACTGTAGTTACGGCTGTTTGGACATTTTAATTTTTTCTTTTTAAATGTTATGAGTGCCAAATAGTACTGAGACTGTTCTGGTGGTGTGTGGTCCTTTATTAAATAACATAGTATGTCAGTTTTTTAATTACCTTTAGCCATTAAGTTTCTTTCTTACCTGATTCTCGTCCAGGTGCTCTTTGGTGACGGAGGAGATAACGTACCTCTCCTCTCTGCTGTCCTGATCGCTGCAACACCTCCAGCATCTGTTCTCCTTCTCCAACAACACGTTCTGATTGATTGAAAAAAGCACACAACGTTAAAGAATATAACATTAACCCTTTGTTACAAAAAGAGATGGAATTAATCAATCATGATATAATTATACTATAGGGCCAAAAACTATGTTCTTATCACCTGACCTGAAAGTCAGATTATGGCTACTTTTGAGATATAGCTACAACCATATCAGTGTTTGTGTATTTGAGGTTCACGTGAATGAATACCGCAATTTATTATCATTATTAGGTCACTACTAGCAGTTTGGATATCTACTTGACACAAGAAACTCACCTGAGCCTCTCAATATCTCAGCCAGATAGCAGTCAGACTCGCCAGGCTCCTTGCAGAGCTCCACCACATCTCTGCACAGTGTCTCTGGTGTGATGGGGACTTCACTAAAGTGTTGGTTATTGTTGCTGAGGTACACAGTTAGGAACATCTACAATTACAAAATACATTTTGGTAATAAGAATTCAGGGTTCACGTTCACGTTGTTTCAATAGACTACCTTTAAATTAGGAAGACTGTCATCAATGACAGTAGCTCACTTGAAAAGCAGGATGAGAGATCCGCGTCACTGATTTACAACTGTGAGCTTGTGTATTACTGGGTCTGTACCTTAAAATAATAAAGTACCTTGAGGCCAATTTTGTTGTGATTTGGTGCTATATAAACAAAACTGAAATTGAATTGAAAGGAACTGAGCATCAACAAAGCCTTTTTTATATTGTCATAAAATATAATTATTGCAAATTTTCTTAAAATATCGTGATATAATTTTGAGGCCATATCACCTCCTTCTATAAAGGAGGCACCCTAATCAGATGCCAGAACTACCTCAACTGTCCTCTTGCAATGTGGTTGAACGGTCTACTTCCTGCATGACCAAAAGCTTCACTCTGCTACTCAGACAACCCTTGGATGAGGTTCATTCTGCTACTCATGCTCATATGTTTTGGTTAGTACCCACTCATAAGCATAACCATAAGTAAAACTCAACCAGTAACATCATAAGATCGCCAACCTCACTTTCACAACAGACCTGTACAACATCCACAAACTTAAAATAGTTCCAAGGGCTGTCAGGTTTCCAATGTTCTGTTTAAAGTGTTAAAACCAAAATCATTGGAATAGTCCGTTAACAGACTGTGTTCAGTAAAACAGCATGCAACATAACAGTTTCACTGAAAACAAAACCTGCCCTTTTCACCTTTATTGCAGCTTTTGTGCTATTTACAACTATTACAGATATTTGTGGACAGAACTCCCATGATGCAATGAGCCATCTGTTACTCCAGCAGGGTAGGCCCACAGCCAGATTACTTCCCACAGCCTGCCAACCTGCGTGGATGCAGCACTCAGCACTTTCCAGCCTTTACTTATCCTGTGAACTAGGCACTAACCAACAACATGCTCAAAGGCTTATCAGAGCTTCTTCTAAAGGTTCCCATCCACAAAGCTGGTCTAAGGATTAAAATCTTCAACTTGACATCCCTGAGCTGGCTTTTCTCATTTTGCACAGCTCTTTCTGCCCTGATTTCTGTTTTATTCATTCCAGTCAATGTGGTCTGAAAAAAGCTCAAAAGAACAAAAACATATATGATGCATATGCCAACAAGATATAAAAAGGGAGGGGCTGAGCATTCAAAAAAGACAAAACAGTATTTTAAGCTAAATGCTACTGCAATGGAGGTGGAGTCACACTCTTCTACCACAGAGTAAATATGAAGAGAAATGAAGCAAGTGTAACCTTAAAAGAAAAGCATGGAAATAGTGTTGTGCAGGTTAAGAGTGTCAGAATCATGAGTTTGAAGCTGGAAATCGAATGTCAGTGCTGAAGTTAGAAAGGCATGGTTGAAATGGTTTGGACATATATAGAGGAGGGATAGTGAATATACTGGACAAAGGATGTTTGAAGATGGAGCTTCAGGAGCCACCAACCTTCCAATTAGTAGATCACCTGCCCCACCTCCTGAGTTACAGCAACCCCCAAGAAGTTCATGGATAAAAGAGGGGGTGGTGTGACAGAAAAGGATGCCAGGGATAGTGTGAGATGAAGGCAGATGATATGCTGTGGCGACTGGTGACGGGAACAGCCAAAAGAAGAAAAAGAACAAGTCTAACCATGTTGTGGCTTACCATGTTTTTGAAAATTGTATATAGTGACCTAATTAACAATAAGATCACTATATCATAATTGGTAATAATATTATCATCTACTATTGATAAGGATAAATATAAATATACTAGTATTCATTTTGCAAACATGTGTGTAAGTTTTCTAAGTCAGTCAGGCTTTCATTTGTTTGTACTCACATTTGTAAAGTTGTTTGTGAAGTACAAATCAGCTATACAAATATTGATAAAATTTGGGTTTGTGCATGAAAGTTTCAATGCATGATTTATGCACACTGTTTGTGAATAAGGGCCAATGTATGCTTGTGCCATCATTGTGGTGGAGGCGTGGTCCCTGGCTCAGCTGCAGGGGGAGGGATGGCGCAGTGAGCTCAAGGGGCAGGGCCAGGGAGGCTGGAGGGCCAGGTGGAAATAATCAACCAAACAAGGTTTCTCCCTTCACATAGCGAGGTCGGACACGAGAGGAGAAGTGTGCGGGCGGGTTGAAAGCTGGCTGGTGTGTGTGCCGAACCAGGGAATTAATACGAGTGCACAATCAATTTAGGGAAAAAAAAACAGTTACACAATCGAAAGAACGGCGTGTCGGGTCACGGTCCTTTACAGTGGTGCCGAAACTCAGCTGGTATGCCAGACTCACATCGCTCAGGCTCCGACACCCTCCCCCGGTTCAGGAGGTACTACAGCGTCCCGGTAAGGAGTCATGGGGGTATGCGCCATGCTTTGGGGGACACGGTCTGCACGCAGAGCCTTATGCACCAAAGCTTGGTTCGCCCCGGGGTATTGCTGAAAGCGGAGTGGGTGAAATGTGTTCATGGTGATATTCACAAGTATCCCAAAGTACCGCTGATATTGAAATCCAAGGGCAAAACACACAGTTACCCCGCGCCTGTCCCCTAATTCCGGGTACGAATTGAACAGCGTTTAATAACGTGTTGGGGGCAGTATACGGGGAGGCAATCACGGCAATCATGTGCTCAGTGGCGACGTCCGTCACTGATTCCGGGGGCGGAGGGTCTTTGACCAAGTGATAGAAATTGATGATCACGTGGTGCGCCCTGAAGCCGTGTGGACCTAGCCGCTCTTTGTATCATTAAAAGAGGCTTTATCGAGTGAGTCGTGACACTCGCACAAAGGAGACATGGGCAAAGGCCTCCACCTGTAAAACCATTCCTGTTTTAGGTCTGTCTCATTGTTGGCATTCTAGTGCACATGTTAGTAATTTCATTAACACCAAAGCAGCTGAAACCAATTTACAACCCTCTTTGTTGTTACAGTACTTGGCCTGGTTAAGGTGTAACAGGAGAAAACGGTATTAGTTCATCTTGGGGGGAACACAAGTATGTGAGCCAAATGTCACTGAGTCCATCCAAAAAGGTCTTGAAACAGTTTACTCAAAACCACAAATACAGCTGACCGAAATGAGAGCTCAACTGCAAATATACAAAGGGATAAATTACTGGGCATATGGATGTGACATTCAGTCTTATTGATAATTTCTGACAAATCAGTGGGTACTTCAGTCCACACAGTTTACCTTTTTAGTCACTAACCTGAGGATTGCTTGCCAGGGATTCTATAGGAATCAATTCAATATTACCTGAAACATAACTAAAGCAAAATAACTTTCATATACGCAACATTCAATCTTCTTGGTTTTTTGAATTTGTTCATGTGCTTTCTATTTTTTCTGTAAGACAGTAGTGTGAGGAAAAGATGAGAAAACTAAAATGTCTCACATGGCGCGATATGGCAGCCTGGCTTCTGTCAGTCTGCCCCAGGGCAGCTGTGGCTACAACTGTAGCTGCCTCCACCAGTGTGTGAATGCGAGAGTGAATGAATAGTGGCATTGTAAAGCGCTTTGAGTGCCTTGAAAAGCGCTATATAAATCCAATCCATTATCATCATTATTATTATTATTATTATTATTGATATAACTGAGAAAAAGTGACTACCATAGAGAATCCAGACTTCAGGCTTTGAAACAAGTCCATAGTATCACCATGACAGAGCTAAAATGGGCAGTTCCAAGCTTGCCAATGCCAGTGATTAGGCACCATGAGGTCACACATGAGTGGGATTTTTTTCAAATTAAATAAAAGATAAATAAAAGAATCTTTTCACTTTAGTCCTAATTACTATAAGAAAGGTTGCTGAGGGCGTTGTTCATTTTATTGGTCTCGTTCAGTCAAACTGTAAGATTACTCTGCTCAGCAAATGTAAATGAACATTGTCAGAAAGAAAAGTGCAATTTTGTATTTAGCCCCAATCATTTCTCCTGGCCTTTTAGCTCTTAAGAACGATTTTTGTTTTATGTTATTGCAGGCTACAGTAGCTGTTCTTGTCAACAGAAAATGGAAATACTCAAGAAATTTAAGTTGCAATAGTGTTAGAAATAATAAAACCAACAAAGGCCCTAACTGAACCAGTGAAAGACTCTGAAAGAGATTTAATGGTCTCAGTGAGAAGCCGTCAACCAGCCTGCCTACTGTCCTACATAAAGAAAACTGGAGCAATGCCGTCTTCCTTCAGGTTCAGACAAAGTGGGCCACTGTCATCAGTCACTCAGCTGAGGTCGACCAGGAAACACTGCAGCCAATCAGAGATGATGGAGGAAAGAAAGTTTCTCTTGGGAGTCTCTTGATTCCTGAACATCAACAGATCCTAAAACCAGACTACATTTGTGAGTATGTGCACTTTTTTTTCACCTCAGTCACCTTTAGTTTCACTTGTAGCTCTGATTAAAATGGGTAACATAAATAGTCAGCTGAGATGAGTAACACTTCACACCAGGCATTTCCATAAATGTCTGCCCAGAAGCACCAGCTATCAATCGTTGCAACCTGTTGTTTGTGAGCAAAACATGTAATAGACACACCGGTCCACTGTGACCATTTCACGCTTTCTCTCCAAAAGTGAAATGGGCATGCATGCTGAAGTTACAGTACCAGCAGGAGGAGATGATATAATCAAGTTGTCTATTTTCTTCCACATTCCAATAAAAATGTACATGTGGCCTGTTAGGTTGGACACTGAATTATCATCAACATCTTTACCATCATAATGCCTTGTTTTCAGCAGCACTAAATTTTGCATCGAAGCACAAACTTCAGAATGCTGACATGCTTGCTCTTCTTCACTGCAGCCATTACATGCTCTTTTAAAGGCACACAGACACACAAACTCTCTCATTCACTAGAACACTTAAACAAGCGAACACAGACACTTGCACAAAAACACAAACACGACACACACACCAAATCTGTCATCTTGCAGTTAAAACACTGTAAAAAATCCTTCCAACAA